TTTATCGATTTAATCAGGAATTACAAAACCGAATGCTTTGAAATCTTGGGAATATTTTAAAGTTATTATAAGCATGGTAAACTTTTGTTCAAAATGTATTTGTTCATCCCTCCTAAAAAAATTGATGACGTCACCCTTAAATTTTGCTGAATAAATCCTATCTAAAATGCAAAAAATATGATGAGTTTGTACTTGTGATTTATCATTCCATTCATATTTTTTAGATTTTCTTAAGAGGTGGTTCAAAAAAATTAATGAAGTCAATTTATTTTATTGATTAAATTAAAGGCAACACTTATTATTAGTATTACACCCCAACCAACCCAATTTGGTAGACACAAAATTTGTTAAAGGAAAAACTCGGTTGAAACATAAGGGTAGCACGCTTATTTACATCGACTTTAACATTACAGACCTGCATTTGTTTTATGCGTTCACTTGATTCCGCGAATGTGAAATAGACATGTTTATAATCAACCAATTGTGAATTTCACCGTCAAGAATTAAAATAAAACCCAATGTTTTATATAATAAGCGGAAGTCGAAGCAATAAAACCGACGGTCGTTTTGTTTACAGTTTCTGTGTTTGGCTCTCACGTATGCTGTTACGCCTGTCATCTTAAATTAACAATGTTTATACATACACGATTTTCAGTTGCCTCTGATACGTAGGTATACGTGAGTAAATTGTTTCGTTATTTTATTGATTATTACAAATCAATATTCAAACGACCCAATTCATTTTCCCGAAAATTTGAGAATATAATAATTTTATTCTTAGTATTACACTACATCTATCCCAACTGATATACGTGTCCTTGCAAAAATGTTGATGACGTCATCGCAATTTTTTTTTAAATTCCCACTACAAAAATGTAATGAGAAAAAAAACACAATAGGCATGCAGTCGTCAAGTTTCCGACAGCGAGGGAAGTACTGTCTAAACTCTTTAGACCAATTTTTTCTAATTGTTCACGGGACGAACATAAAAAATTGAATAATTTTTTTTTGACTAATGGGTGTATTATCTCTTTTATAAGAGTTGTTCAGCACAAAATTACCTTTCAGATCATGTTTAGAAAATATATGTAACAAAAACACTGTTCTACTGTGTAATTATCACATCTAACGAACCTATACAACACGTGCATAAATACAAAGATACAAGATCCAAGGGGATCGCTTTAAATTTATCCTAAAAAGCTACAAGAACACCACAACCTCTAGATCTTCCTAGCCTACCTTAATAATATAATGATAAGAGTAGAGCAAATAATGACAACTAATGCCAAAAGGTCAGTGGCGTTACAAGGAAAATTTTAAATAGGGGCTACTATTGAATTAATGGTATTAAGCTTATTTACATAACATAATAAAAATTATTTTTTATCTCAAAATTTATCAGTTAAATAGTTTTAATATAAATTCAAGAAATTTTGGACAACGAAACTGTTACTCTTTATTTTTTATTCAAATTTTTGATTTGCATTTTCAACCAAATCCCTTATTGCATGGCTTTTGCTCTTAGATTTTTTTTGTTTATTTCTTCTTTAGCTTTTCTGGTATAGATTTTCAGACGGTAATCATTCTTGCAGTAAATTTTGTTTTGCTGTTGCAGCATGTTGGAAATTGTATTGAGCGATAAGTCAAATTTTTCCTAATTTCTTTCATGACTTACAAAACATTACCAGTGTAAAAATTATTATTCTTTAAATAATCTCTCACATTACAAAATACTAATTTGCTCTACTAAAATTGCTATTTGGAACGCGTTCTCTGAAGCGTAATGTAAAGCACCAGTTTTATAATCTTTTAATACCACAAATTTTGCATAATTTTCATTACAATTGTTCTTAGAGCCCAAAGAAACAATACATTTTTTGCAAAAATTTTGATTTTTTATTAAGCTTTTAACAACGTAACCTGTGCAACTGTACAAAGCATTTTTTTCTCTCAAAGAAAGTTCTTTTTTCTTCAAATTCCAATTTCTAGGTAAAACTAAATTTTCTTTTCCTTTAGGAACATCGTTTTCTTTTCTGTTATTATCTTTAATATAACTCAAAAAACCAACTAAAGGTGTTGTTTTGACGGTTTCGTAACTTGAGTTATTTGAAACGTCTAACTCTAAATATTGAGAAACTGATAAAAGTTTTGAGTTATATTTAAACTGAATGGTCGTAGGGACCGGATGTCTTGACCGAATTTGGGAAAATACATTTTCTAAACAATCTTGAGAAAATCTCGATGTTAATAAATACGAGTATTTTTCTCGTTCAAAAACAAGTTTTGCAGGTCTAAAATTTATGTTGTTGTCAGTATAACACATGTTTGAATAGGCTTCCAAACTGCTTTTCCAAATTTGTCAAGAGAGACTTTTAAGTTTAAAAATAACTTAATGAACTCTTGAAGGAATTCTATAGTTTCCCTATAGACAGCGATATTAAACTAGCTCAAGACCAAAATAGTTGATCTAGAACTAATCAACTGGAACCACCTATGTACCACATCAATAAAAACAGCTGTCATTAGAGAAGATTTGTCTTTCCTCTCTCCTCTTCCGCAACAAATTTTATTCCACAACTAACATTTCGATTTAAAACGTTTGGAGAATTTGACACCTTCATTTTGTTAAAATGCTTAAATTGTAAAAGATCTACATTTAATTTAGACGCAAATTGCAGCTCAAATTTGCCTTCTTCTTCACAAAAAAACCCACTAAAGGTGTTGTTTTGCCGATTTCGTAACTTGAGTTATTTGAAACGTCCAAATATTGAGAAACTGATAAAAGTTTTAAGTCATATTTAAATTGGGACCGGATGTCTTGGCCAGACGTCTTTGGGAAAATACATTTTCTAAACAATCTTGAGAAAATTTCGATGTTAATAAATATGAATTTTTCTTTTCGTTCAAAAACAAGTTTTGCAGGTCTAAAATTGATGTTGTAGTCAGTATAACACCTGTTTGAATAGGCTTCCAAACTACTTTTCCAAATTTGTCAGGAGCGACTTTTACGTTTAAAAATATATAACTTAATGAACTCTTGAAGGAATTCTAAAGTTTCCCTATAGGCAGCCATGTTAAACTTGCTCAAGGCCATAATTCATTTTGTTAAAATGGTTAGATTGTAAAAGATCCACATTTAATTTAGACGCAAATTGCAGCTCAAATTTGCCTTCTTCTTCACAAAAATCTTTAATATGTTGCACGTCAACTAAACCAGAAGTTAGTTTATATTTTTCAACAAAATCATTTGGTAATTGAATGATTTTGTTTTGTACCAAATATTGCTTTATATTTTTTAATAAATGTGGCCCATCTGCTAAAAAGTAAATTTTTTCGCCATTAACTGGGTTTAGGACATAATTTTTTGTTTCGCATTTTCTTCCAGCTTTTATTCCAAAGGTTTTCCGCATAGCTTGATTCGCCGATCCCATATCTGAGGTTACAGAATGAACCTTCAAACCAATTGCACTGATTTTCTTAAAAACTTCTTTAAGAACATCAGCTAGAACTGCCCCATTCAAACTGTCTCCAGTAAAATAGTATGAAACAATTTGTTTCCAGCGAGTAGTAATACCTCCCACGAGAATTACCAACGCTTTTGTCGCTATTCCCCCATGTTTTGGTAAAGTAATTCCCCCAATATACGTCCGACTATGTACACAATAATCAATCCCAGCTTTTATATCCATTTCGTCCAATGCCACCATACAATCCCTCCCAAAATCCTGATTAAGCGATTCACATTTAATTTTCAAAAACCCTATAATTTCATCCAAAACTCCAGATTTAAACTCTAAATTTTGTAAATGAAAATTCGATGTTCGAATAGCTGGAAATGGTAGTTTCATTTTTCTTAATAAGTTATATCTACTGGTCCCACATCCAAATTTAAGCTTCAAAGATTTAGTGATTGTTTGCTCGGAACATTTTTTGAGTTTTTTCCCTTTTAGATTCTCAATTTGATCCTTTGTTAATATATTTGTTAAATTTTTCCTTAAATTTGAATTACACACTTTGTGCAAGTATAATTTCTGGCTTATTTTTTTTTACACTTTAGCGGTTTAGACGAAACAAATTCAAGCCAGAGAGGTTGAGAAGAAAGAAAATTATTTGACAGGGGAAATTCAAACAGAAAAGATTCATTGGAGAGCTTACTATTTGAATTATTACTCTCCGTTGCAGAGGGAAAAATTGAAGGAACAGCGTCTTCTAAAAATTTTCACATTTGTAGATCTTCTAAAAAACAAAAATGGACGTCTTCGAGTATTTTTCACCCTCGCTAGAAGAAATAAGCAGATGAAACATCTGGCGCCGTATGATAATTATTTTTTTCACGAAACTAAAGCGCTTTTAACACGGAATTTCCTCAAGCATAAGGGTCATCTAATCTCAAGTCTTCGGCTCGCTAAGCATCCGTGTTATTTCGGCGATTAAGCATAGGCGCCACGGTTGTTTATCAAACAATCTGACAGTTGTCGACACCAATAAAATGGTCATCCCGCATGTTTACGATCTCCATAATGCACTTCGTTATAGGTAAATCCCTGAACATCTAAAGAACTCTTCCGTTCCATCACTAAGCCTCCTTTCAGACGTGTCGAAATTCTTGTTTATCGTCGTCTCACGGTTTCAAAGGATTAATTAATAAATAAAATTCGGTACGTACACGTGCCCTTTGAGTCACATCTGGCGTACACATGCCCTGACGTCACAGGCAGGAACTGTACTCAACATTAAAAAACCAAAACTTCCGGATCGTTGCTTAATTTACACAGTTCTGAGACATTGTCATAGGTGATGACATCACCTGACCAGACTTATTTTTGAGTGCATGCAGAATAAGTGACTAAGTTGAATCATGCAATATTCTTAAGTAAACGCGGCCCACTTCATTTTGTCTAAATATTGGTGTTTCGCAGAATGGTGTGGTCAGATATTGCCGCAAAAATGACGTAAGGGTATAAATTGAGCGATTAGCTTAAATTGTTATTACTTACATGTCCTGCAAGGTGAATATTCGTTGAAATCATCGAAGAAGCCGCTGGAGACGTAGCAGGTTCCTACGGGATCTCGGCGCGTACGACCGTTGGGGAACCAGGTGTAGCGAGGGGCGCAGGCCTTGAAAAAAAAAGAAAAACTGTTATATCAATTTAGTACACTGAACGCATTTTGCCAAAATTTTTCGTGGTACGATAGTGATTTACGTGAAAAGCCCATTGAATTCAGTATCGTTAAAACTATTATTTTACAGGTATCTATAGGTGTGATATACATTTCCCACATATATTTATAGACAACACGTTTCAATCGTCGTTTAATTAAAGCCTTGTGTCATTTCCAAGGACAATAAATAGAAAGGTGCGCACTTTTCCGTCGTTCTCGTTGTAGATTAAAAATAGATTAGGGAGTGTTTAGTGTTGTGATCATCAAGATGGGAGGGAGACTTCGGTAAAGCAGTGGTGGTTTTAAAAATGTCGTTAACCTTTGTAGCTGCCGCTACCATTTTTCGGTTCAAAGAATCAAAAAGCAATAAAACAAACAATTTGGTAGCGCGGCTTTCTTTGATATTGTGCGTTATTAATAAAAAAATTGGGTAAAGATGTGGCTTTTCTGGGATCTTTATGTTATCAGAAACATAAGTCAAAGGAGGTTTTTATGGAGACATTATTTTCGTTGTTATCACGTACTAAAACAACAAACATCTGTGGTTATAAATTAATGGTGAGAGGATATTGTATGTAAACAAATCCGATGTTATATTTTTGTTGTATTAATTTAAGATTTGGCTTGTAAATATCAGCTGGTAATAATTTTCTACCGAAAATGCTGTAGATTGTTTTAAAATGTCATTATTCATTAATAAGAAAATGCTCTGGAAACACTTCCTATACTAAACTGCTCGATTTAATGGACATTTTAATCGGGCTGTTAAAATCATCATCATTAATTGCCAGAGATGTCGTAATACAAGTAAAAATACCAACAGGTCTTTATGTTAAGTTTATGAAGGGTATTTGCATAAAACTGAAAAGGAAAGTAAAATTCGGTACGATTGACAGCTTTCGGATTTCATAATTTCAAATAAACAAATCCCACACACCATTCCAAGAATTCGATGTGTTTTCTTAATTAGTTTTTCGACAGTTTTAGTAACGGTGCTGAATATCACAGTTTAAATACGAATTTTAACGAGAATTCTGTCGCATACGATACAAGTTCAGGGGCGGCGACAGAGAATGGACGGTGGGAAAACTAATGATTCATTAAAAAGACGATGATAAGTAATAAAGAAAAAGGGATCATGCCAAAAACGGTCCTGCGAGACCTACGCAAATTAATGATGTATATAAAACCATCTGTTAACTTTCATTTGGTTTTTAATTCAATAAGTTACACAGTCGCTTCCTTTTTACTTCCCGAGCGTAAGCAAAGGAAGTATTGTAATCGAGTCCGTCGGCCGACTCTCTACTTTTACGTTTTCTCGATCTTTCATGACCCCTAGAAGACGAAGAAATAGGTCTCCCATTTCCGTCTGTCTGTCCGTCTGTCCGTCTGTCCGTCCGTCTGTCTGTCCGTCTGCCGTCCCGGATTTTTATTAGACAGATAATCTCCGAAAGTACTCGACCGATTGTTGTGAAATTTTGTACTTATATTAAGAATATCATGTAGAATCAGTGGTTCGCAAACTTTTATTATTGATGGCACCCTAAAATATTAAACAAAATTTGGCGGCACCCCTCCAGGAACAGTTTTAATTGTAACTAATTTATTATCAAAAACACTTAATCACATGATTGTATAATAAGTAATTGATGTTAAGATTGTTTTATAAATATTTTTTCCATAATTTAAGCTTGTCTTTTGAAGCCAAATTTTTTTCATTTCTACCTTGCATACTTGAATTTACATATTTTATTTAAGTGTTCAAAAATATTAGTTAAATATGCTACTTTTACACACCAAACGTGGTCTTGAAGGAGGTCAAAAAATTGTTCAATATTTTCTGATTCAAAAAACGTTTATATCTGTTTTCTTAATTCCCAAAATCGAGAAAGAACACGGCCTTTAGATAGCCATCTTACTTCAGTATGAAGAAAATTAACATGTTCAGAACACATTTTCCATTACTGAACAGTTGTAGTACTATATTAATAAAATCAGATCATTAATTATTATTTTTTAAAGTTGGTTTTGTGCTTATATTTATTAAAATTATTATAAAATTTTCACGGCACCCTCTTGGGGGTTCCGCGGCACCCCAGTGTGCCGCGGCACCCAGTTTGCGAACCACTGATGTAGATGGTAAAACGCTAACCAAAATTTGTCTAATCATCCCCACCACTAATGCGATGACGTCACTTCAAAATTGTACATAGTAAATGGGTTTTCAATTGTATAAAATAACATAGTCCTACACATGTAGTTTACAACTCTGAATCGACTTTTCACCCGAAACGTCCAGATTTTTGGAAAAAAAATCGAAATTATAAAACAACATTTTGAAATTTAATTTTTAATCTGCTAACCAGAATACTTTGAAATGTTGCAGATGTTTTAAGGCTATAAAGAGCATCATAAATCTTTAGTCAAAAAATATTTGCTTATCCCCTCCAAAAACTTGATGACGTCAGCTCAAAAGTTTGTGGAATAAATCATATCTAAAATGTACAAAATATGATGGGTCTGTACTTGTGATCTATCACTCCATTCATATTTTTTGGATTTGCATATACAGGGTGACTCAAAAAAATTAATGAATGCGTAAATATATTTTATTGATTTAATCAGGAACTACAAAACCGAATGCTCTGAAATCTTGCAGATGTTTTAAGGTCATAAAGAGCATAATAAATGTTTAGTCAAAATATATTTGCTTATCCCCTCCAAAAACTTGATGACGTCAGCTCGAAAGTTTGCCGAATAAATCATATCTAAAATGTACAAAATATGATGAGCCTGTACTTGTCATTTATCACTCCATTCATATTTTTTGGATTTGCATATACAGAGTGACTCAAAAAAATTAATGAATGCGTAAATATATTTTATTGATTTAATCAGGAACTACAAAACGGAATGCTCTGACATCTTGCACATGTTTTAAGGTTATAAAGAGCATAATAAATGTTTAGTCAAAATATATTTGCTTATCCCCTCCAAAAACTTGATGACGTCAGCTCGAAATTTTGCCGAATAAATCATATCTAAAATGTACAAAATATGATCAGTCTGTACTTGTGATCTATCACTCCATTCATATTTTTTGGATTTGCATATACAGGGTGATTCAAGAAAATAAATGAAAGCGTAAATTTATTTTACTGATTTACTCAGGAACTACAAAACCGAATGCTTCGAAATCTTGAAGATATTTTAAAATTATCATAAGCATGGTAAATTTTTGATCAAAACGTATTTGGTCGTCCCCCCTAAAAAAATTATGACGTCACCACAAAATTTTGCTGAATAAATCCTATCTAAAATGTACAAAATATGGTGAGTCTCTTCTTGTGATTTATCATTCCATTCAAATTTTTTCGATTTGCATATACAGGGTGACTCAAAAAAATTAATGAATGCGTAAATTTATTTTATTGATTTAATCAGGAACTACAAAACCGAATGCTTTGAAATCTTGCAGATGTTTTAAGGTTATAAAGAGCATAATAAATTTTTAGTCAAAATATATTTGGTTATCTTCTACAAAAAACTGATGACGTCAGCTCAAAAGTTTGCCGAATAAATCGTATCTAAAATGTACAAAATATGATGAGTCTGTACTTGTGATTTATCATTCCATTCATATTTTTGGATTTGCATATGCAGGGTGACTCAAAAAAATTAATGAAGGCGTGAATTTATTTTATCGATTTAATCAGGAATTACAAAACCGAATGCTTTGAAATCTTGGGAATATTTTAAAGTTATTATAAGCATGGTAAACTTTTGTTCAAAATGTATTTGTTCATCCCTCCTAAAAAAATTGATGACGTCACCCTTAAATTTTGCTGAATAAATCCTATCTAAAATGCAAAACATATGATGAGTTTGTACTTGTCATTTATCATTCCATTCATATTTTTTAGATTTTCTTAAGAGGTGGTTCAAAAAAATTAATGAAGTCAATTTATTTTATTGATTAAATTAAAGGCAACACTTATTATTAGTATTACACCCCAACCAACCCAATTTGGTAGACACAAAATTTGTTAAAGGAAAAACTCGGTTGAAACATAAGGGTAGCACGCTTATTTACATCGACTTTAACATTACAGACCTGCATTTGTTTTATGCGGTCACTTGGTTCCGCGAATGTGAAATAGACATGTTTATAATCAACCAATTGTGAATTTCACCGTCAAGAATTAAAATAAAACCCAATGTTTTATATAATAAGCGGAAGTCGAAGCAATAAAACCGATGGTCGTTTTGTTTACAGTTTCTCTGTTTGACTGTCACGTATGCTGTTACGCCTGTCATCTTAAATTAAGAATGTTTATACATACACGATTTTCAGTTGCCTCTGATACGTAGGTATACGTGAGTAAATTGTTTCGTTATTTTATTGATTATTACAAATCAATATTCAAAACGACCCAATTCATTTTCCCGAAAATTTGAGAATATAATAATTTTATTCTTAGTATTACACTACACCCATCCCAACTGATATACGTGTCCTTGCAAAAATGTTGATGACGTCATCGCAATTTTTTTTTAAATTCCCACTACAAAAATGTAATGAGAAAAAAAACACAATAGGCATGCAGTCGTCAAGTTCCGACAGCGAGGGAAGTACTATCTAAACTCTTTAGACCAATTTTTTATGTTATAAATTTATTAAAGGTAAAAATCTTCAGTGTGATTAATTAAGACTTCTGGACATAACCAAACCTCATCACGACGCAAAGATGAGTAGAACGTGATTTAAAATATACACAAGTACCTAATTTTAATATCAGGTTTCTATAAATGATTATAGGGTCGAAATGACCTGAAAACGTGCCGCCTCTCAGTTTTGAACTTTATTAAATGCATAAGGACGCATGACAACTAGCACGCGCATCTGTATAACTGGTTGCCTAAATGATCTTTTTAAAATTATTAATTAAACCACA